ACCAGAAAAGATTTATCCGTGGGATTTATTTATGAGAGAGGTAAAATTACTATTTTGCGTTCGAAATTTTAAAAGGGTATCGTACTAATATTGAAATCAATTGCAGGTGAAGGAGTATTTCATAATTGGATTAACGTTCGCTACGGAAGCTGTTCCATTTTGTCTATTGGATCCATCTCAGTCATTCGATTTAGATGCCATTATCAAGGGCGACGAGGCAGTAAATATTGCTGACGTATGGTCATTATCTAATATCGAAACATCAAGTGGAAGGCAAAGATTAGCAGATATAATTGTCCATGCAGTTGAAAATGGATATTTATGAAAATGGAAAATGTTACATGTAATTAGCCTTTCGCATCGACATAGAAAATTATGAAGCATGACTGCTTCATTTTAACAAAATAATAATGCACATTATTGGAATTAATATATATAAATGTACTGAAGTAAGTAGTATTGGAATAGTATTATTGATATATATTAATATATATGTATATAATTAACTTTAATAAAATCTTACTTTCACATATTTATATTTTTTCAATAGATATATATCTCAAAATTATATATTCATACATATCTGGAATAAAATTTTATCCGGTTTTTATTAAAAATATGTAGAATTAAATAAAATATAGACAATCCATGTCTTTTTGTATAATTTTAATTATAACAACGTAGATTAATGAAAATATAATTTGTATAAGAGAAATATATAGCCACCCATTAACTTTTCATTAGTTTATATATATGATATATATGATATATATCTAAAATTTCGTGTTATCACATAGCAATATTAACAGGGTGGACAGTGTTGGTAGAAATATTTTGTATTTTTTCTTTCTTTTGTTTCTTTTTTTTTAGGAAAAGTACATCTATTGCTGAAAAGCATAATATGTTAATGATAAGTGCATCACAGATGCATATTTGATGTTAATAATCTGCGCAAAGCAAATAACTTTTAAAACGTTGAAAAATGCCTTTCTCGCAATCGATAGTCCCCTTGTGTATCTACTGCAAGAGATCGCGGTAAAGTTAGTTGGATGTTATTAAAAGTCACGTGATGTCGAGAACATTGCACGGATGACATATTCACATATATAATATAGCGGTGTATATCACTATGAGACACACGTCTATGCGTTTTGATGCTGAGCATTGATCGTCACAACGTTACTCGCATCGAAAACAGTTGTGTCCTCATCGTCCTCCTCTTCTAGTGGCAGCGGTCGCATCTCGACGTCTTGCCTGTGCGTGAGGACACCGTATTTTCGAACCAACTGGGCGCGTGTCTTACTTAACCTGCCGATAAGAGTAACCATTAAGCCATTAAGTACATAATCCGTCACATAGATATCTGTATATATCGTTCTTGAGTATACTGTTATCTATTAAAACGCACCTAAAACTACGGAACACGATGTAGGCCATGACAAGGATGCTTAGTCCCACGAAGACTAAGAAGCCACGTACAAGAGCACCAGTGTTGAAGGACGTGTGGCCTTCGCTGGACTGTCATGTCAAATCAATAACAAGAATAAATAAATCAATAACTAGAATACATCACGACAGTGATATAATTTTATGTGGTATGAAACGCTGTCTATAGATTTAAATTTACATTATCCAGGATGTTCCTAAAAAAAAATGCAAAAAACCAGCCTATTATATAAAATAAATAGTGTAAAGGTACATATTCTTTCCACGTATAATAATAAATATAAAACATTAATATCTGCTAATATTAAGGTCTATCCAGACAAACTTGCATAGGTGCATAAGCATATGCATAAAGAAATGGATTGGTCTATTTCCTTATGCACATGTATATGGACCACGCAATTTTCTTATGCTTATGTTTATATGTGTTATGCAAGTTTGTCTGGATAGACCTTTAGTCTATCTATTAATATGTAAGATATTCATATTTAATAATTGGTCTACTAATTACTAATGTAGCACAATTTGCACAATATGTATATTAGCATTAATATTTGCGGCATGCTACAGTTTTACGCAGTTATGTATTATAACTAGAAGCAACTGCTTTAGTATAACCAAGATACAAATTATTCTCAAGTTTTTTCCTCAGGCATTGATAAAAAGTAGAGAATGATAACGAAAATTATTCTGGTGCGTAATAAGCTGCTAATCAATTTTTTTCTACCCGCCGACTTCACCATGCGTTTATCTCTGCAGCGTATGCAAGAAACTATTGCCTCTGATCTTGATTTAGAATAAAAACAGAACACAAGATGAGAGCGATTCTTGTTCTCCAGAATATAAGAGTGGTACAAGTTTCAGATCAGCAAAGGGCTGCTTTTGCATACGAAAAGCATTCACATTTTACAGAACCGTCTGCATGAGAGCAAAAAAACGTAGAAAAAGGATTTTCCTTCTTAAAGCATTATGTAGAAAAATTTTATTTCACGTTCTCGTCTCTCATCTTTTCGCATGGGATTATTATCTTCTTGAATGTATGTCCACTGTGTTTATTCAACTTATGTTGAGTAGATGCTAATACATATATCATGCTTATACAATAATATGTCAATTAAATATGAATATAAATATATAGATATTTATATATCAGTAAATAGACAAATATTAGCGGATGTTAGTGTTCAATACTTATCATTAAATGTTTATTTATTATATAAATTATTAAATACATGGAAGGAACATATTCGTAACCTCCACACTATTTACATAAGATAAATAAAATCGTGACCGCCGTCCACAGTCCCCGATCAAACGAAGGTGGTGCAAACCTCGTTGGACGTGTCCGCGGTGTGCGAGGTTTTGTTCGCGACGGCGATGTCCGACGGCAGCGGCTTCGGGGTTATGTTGTCGTGCGTCCTGTTGCCGTCGGGCGCCGGCTTCTTCGCGTCGGCGGTAGACCCGGCGTCCGCGGTTTTCCGATTGCCGTCCTTATCGCCGTGCTTCTCGTTCGTTCCTACATTTTCGTTGGCGACCGCGGGCGCCTTCTCGTCCACATTCGCCGACGGCGGCGCGTCCCTCTTCTCCCGAAAACTCCCGTCGCAGACCGCCGTCTGCGCCAGCAGGAAGATCAGCAGGAATATGAAGAATTTCAGCTTCTGGATCTTCGACCGCGTCATCGTGCCGTGTCATTTAAGCGGCGACCGCGACGACGACGAGCTCTTTCAGTTTTTCACGCGGTTTACGACGCGACAGCTCGACGTTCCGGCGCGTTCTCCATGTTGCTCAATATTGCTCGCCGCTCGACGCGCAAAACCAGACAGGCCAGACCCCGTCTCTTCCTCGTCGCGCTTCCTCCCGGACCAGCTGTTCCGCCACGCGGCGCAGCGCGGCGGCCTTCGGACAGTTCCGTCATTCCGTGTCGTCCTCGCGCGCGCGACGCGACGCCCCCGACCCCCGGGACCCCCGTGCACGCACATGTCGCGTCGCGTGCGTGATTAATCGCGGCCGGCCCTCGCGTTAAATGTTAATGCTCGTCCAGGCCCAGACACTCCAGATTGGTGGCCGCGCGCACGTGTGCGTGATGTGCGTGTGTGTACGTCCTGAATGATAACACTATCAGTTAACTATCTGTTCGTCCTGGCCATTTTCGGAGCAGCACTGCTTGAAGGCCATTAAATATAGGAAGAAGAACTATTAAGACTGTATATTAATTATATGTACTAATAGGTATTAATAAATATACTAATTATACTGACATTAATTGAAGGAATGTATTTGCGAACTTGTGTTCACATAATTCATATAACATGGTAGAATTTGATCAAATATCCTTTAGGAACATATCATTATCGTGTGTTATAAAAAATTTAAAGAAAAATCTGTGAAGTGTCTCATATATCGCGTGTAACATTTATATCGCTGTCTCAATTTATTCTATTATTTTTGTATCATTATTGATCACGTATGTATACATGTATACATAGTAGGTGCGTCAGTCTCTGGGCTAAACCCCAATTAATTTGATCGCCGATTAACTTGTTAAACGAGATACTGTACTATTAACGTGGATGGAAAAATTAATTTTGTTTAATGCATGGAAAGAGAGAAAGATTAGATCGGAGACGGTAAAGCATGCAGTTACAAAAATATTGACATGCAATTCTGCCGAATTAATCACCAATCAAATTAATTAGGATTTAGTGGAAGTCATCCCTCCCCCTCCCCCCATTCGCGATTCCGGACGCAGTTTTATGCAAAATGAGTTCGCAGAGCGCTCGTTCTTGTTTATATTTGCTCTTCGAATCCTTTTTTTTCTCTCTTCTACGAACGAACGTTACGGTAATTAATAGTCAGGTTGGTTGTTAATCGCGTGACCGCATCGGCGAAGCGATCGTATAGATAATTAAGATGCTATCGTTGGCGATATCTTGTTGCTTTTAACCGGAGGTCAAATCTAGGCGGGACAAGCTCGATCCAAGGTCTTCGTAAACTTTTCTAAGAACTAAGAACGAAGTTTGTAATGGGAACCTTCTAAATGGCTCCCTTTACGAGGGTTTATTTTAGCTGAACAGACATGGTATTCTGGTAAAGGATTAGATAAAACACCGTTGTGTTTCTTTCTGCCTCTCGGCAGGCTCGAGTATCCTTTCGTTCAAGACTCGATTATTTCCAGCAAAATAAATGGAAGTATATCATCATTAAATGCCGCAGGTACCTACCTGCTCGTTTTAAGATTCGATAGCGACTCGTTTTACGCGCGTCTGTACAAAACAAAGTAATTTCGTAAGGATGACCAAAAAGGATGGATTATGGACAAAAATACTTAATTCTTGTTTTTTGATAAACGTATCATTTATTCTGAAAATACTTTGTGTGTGCTGCCTCAATGCAAATAATCTCCAAATTTTCTTAAATTACAGTTAATGTGAATTAATTCATCAATTTCAAGCACACATGCCCTATTCTTTTCTACCGACAAATAAAGATAAAACGTTGTAATTTTATGGACGTGATCCCGATTTTACGATAACAGTTTTTTCCTTGTCGAACGACATGTCGAACTCCTCAAAGAGAGATTCTGGTTTCAATGTTTCAAATTCTCTTTTATCGTCGATCGTCTGAAGCGCGTTTAAATAGACTTCGCGGATAAACAATCGGTGCGAGCGTGCCAAGAATACGCGTTTGTATTTGCGGAATAAACGTTGACACGCGTGGAGCGGGCGACCAATGGAAGCGAGGCGATTTGACGTACGGCGACGCGCCTGTGTAATAACGCGGGGATGCAGTGCGGGATTTAAACCCGTCGCGGAGCCCGCAAGCTCGCATCGAACGATACAGCGATGTCCATTTCTACCAAGGTAGATTGACTTTAATCTCGGTTCAACTTACTTTTTACCTTTTCTTAGTTCTAAGAATTAGAAAAAGATAAAAGGTAAGTTAAACCTGGATTAAAGTTAAGCTGCACCGGTAGAAATGGACATAAGAGTAACTTCTAACCGGATTAACTTAGCTTAGTCGATCAATTTATCTAAGTAATACCTACAGTATTTTGTTATATTTAATTAATTTGTCATATGGAAAAAGAATAAGATGAACTTCAGTAATATCTGCCAGTATTTCGTTAATACGGACAGAAATATCAATTTTCTACTATTCGACACGTGAAAAGAGAAATTATAGAACCAATTATCGAATTAGCAGATTGACGATCAGCTGTCAACGCTTTAGCGGGGATCTTCCGTCTCTCCACTCTCTTCCCAGCCCTTTTCTCAGATTCTCCGGATTTTTGTCGCCGACACGCTCTCTCTCTCTCGCGCGAGTCTTCCCGCGAGCGGGAAAGATACCCGCGGGCCAATCGACGCGCGGCCGGCCCTGCTACGGTGTATATACATACATCCACGCGTGCGTTTAACGGGCAGACGCGAGTCGCGAGGACGGTGTGAGATCTGCGACGCGACAGTTGGGGGACGAGCGAGGAGCGAGACGAGCGGGGGCCGGGGGCGAGCGTGAAGCGACAAGAGTGAGGAGCTCGGGGAAGTCGCGATCGCGAGTTCGGTGCGTGCACACATCGGCTCGCGTTTACATACATATATGTATATATATATGCCCGTCTCGGCTGTGAACGGCGCGCCCGTGGCCGCGCTCGGCGACAGCGACAGGTCGAACGGCGCGACGGATGGCTCGCGATATCGGCCGATCGGCTGGTTGGACATGATGCGCGCCTGCGACGACACGTCCGATGTACGATTGGAGACTTTGGAGAGGTTCAGAGCAGCGACGGCGACGGCGGCGAGCGGCGCCGTCGCGACCGCGTCGGGCAACGGGGACGCGGACACGACGGCGGAGGAGGCCACGTCGAGGAAGTGCGAGGGACAGCTGTCTATGCTGTGCGCAGCGAACAGCTGTTCGTCCTGCAAGCCTGCGTGCCGTACGTCAGAAATGGCGCAGAAGGATCACGGCTCGTCCTGGGCTAATCTGCCCACCGTTATCTTGCAGGAGATATTCACGTATTTGTCACACGACACCAGGATAAGAGCCTCCCAGGTATATACCGAGAGAATTCGAGAGTGTGTGCGTGTGAGAGAGAGGGAAAGAGACAGAGAAAGAGAGAGTGCGAGCCTTGCCTTGCCTTGCCTCTTGTTTTCCTTTTCCTCGCGCTGTAAACTGACCTGACATTGTGCGGCCGATAAAGCCGTCGCGTCAATCGCAGGAATACTTATTTCTTATGGAATGTATACTGATGAGACACTACCCGCTACTATCTCTCTCTCTTTCGCCTGACATACGTTTGCTCAACCGTTATTTGCGTGTGCAAAAGTTTGATTTACGAACGTTATCATGTGTATGTGTGTATGTGTATATATACATATATGTGTGCGAGGAGAGGGAAGGGGAGTCACCACTCCGTGTGTTTTCTTTTCTGCATTACGGAGCGAAATAATGTACTGAAATGCCAACAGTCATTTACGGTGATAAACCGAGTTATTAGGTCTACATGTGATAGAGAATAGAGATTAGATCTTCACTGATATGAAAAAAAAAATTATGAAGTTGACGCACGTGATGTAGTTTTTATAAACAATATTTTGTACCACAGAGATAGTAGAAATGATTGTTGGACAGCACTTTATACGTAGATGTTATTTATATCAATGTGACTATCAATTTATTAAGATTTATACTTAATTAATACGAGATTTCTTCAGCGGACTTGTTATTCGATTTCCATAGGTGTGCAAAAATTGGAGATGTACCTTGTTCCACCCAAACTTCTGGAAAAAAATCACTTTTGTGTTCAGAGATCAAGACAGCGTTGTGTGGGCCCGGTTCGTAAAACCAGATTTACCATCCGTTTGTCGACTAATTAAGCGTCATGCGATACACGTAGCACGTTTGTTATAGGTTCTTGGCAAATCGTTTCGCTCTGAGTGTGCACGAAGCTACCATTCGTTGGGATATACCTAGATATGTCAATTGCATAGGTGAAACGTACAGGCTCTTGAAGAAACTAGGCCAAAATAGACAATTGAGAAAATTGTTCTTGGAATTCAATAGTAATACTTATGATCTATCCTTTGACAACGAGGACGACAGGTATTGATAAATTGATCTTATCTGGAGTACAAATCAGCTTTCTCGTTGAATAAACTTGGATCGTTTGTCTTTCAGTAACTACAAAAGTTCCGCATCATTAGTAAAGTGTGTGGTAAATATTATTGAGACCTCTAATTGCCTGGAGACCCTGAGTCTGGGATGCAGGGAAGAGTTGATAATGAATTTGTCTACGATTTTGGAACCCCTCCGTCTTCATCACGCCAAACATTTGACACACCTCAGTCTGGCATCCATCAAGGACGATCCTGATTATTATGACTTCTTCGAGCTTGATAACTCTATTTTTAATTCATTTATCAGATTGTCTATCTTAACTCTGGATTATGAGTATGTCAGTGATACTTTGTTGGAAGCGTTAGATAATGGATGTATGCAGAGACTTGTGATCCATATACATGGCTGGAAAGAGGATTATCCAGGAACAACAAATATGGCCTGGCAAATGTTTGTTCAAAAAAAGTGAGTTACAGTAGTGCTATACCCATATTTGGAATTATTTAGATTGTTGACAAGAGGTGCGTTTCGTTTCACGCATGATGTACATAATGCATCACTTATCCTTGTTTAACATTTGGTGAAGCGTATCATGCGTGAAACGAAACGCACCCAAGAATAATATCTCGATGAAAAAAAAAACGTGCATAAATGTTTATTTATTTGCAGTCCACAGTGTGAATTAAGGCTCAATCTTATACATTCTTACGCCGGCGTTAAGGTTTTGGATACTGACATATTCTGTCCTGCTATGCCATTGACACACTTACAAGTTCTGTTCTGTGAAAACATTAATATCAGAGCGCTACATCGATTATCAATGTGGTATGCGCATACGCTGAAATCATTGACGTGGATAGACTCGATAGATCGCAAGCAGCATATGCCATCCACATTTGATTCAAACGATCCAACTAGGTAAGAAAATTCTCCACTTTGACTTATATTTTTCTGGTGATAGTATAATTTATACGTAGATATATATTTCGATTATAGTCCAGACTCTTTGGTGTTGGTGGCATGGAAGTGTACTAAACTTACGAAGATGGTGTTCCTCGGTCATAAATATTACCAAGAGAATCTGTTGGCCATCGCGCGTCTCAGAGGCAGCACCCTTAAATTATTGGTATTTGCAAAAAGTGATATTACCTCTGATTTTGAATTGTGGCGTCACAATCAAGCTGAAAGCATCAGACATGTAAGTATACAAGCATTTTGGTAAATATCTTTAGACGTTGCGTTTCACTTTATATGATTAAGGGACTAACAATTCCAAAACAATTTTAAAATATTAAATTTTGTATCTTTTAGGAAATTCGAGATATAATGGGTCCACATTGGATGCCCTTGGATGACTCAGACCTACCAATGGTAATACTGAATCCTTTCAAAGGCGATAGTAGAGAAGTGATTATGCCATTGGTTCTTAGTGATCAAAAATAATTCGCGACAGAAGCCAAGGAAAATCTCTATTCAGTGTGATTATATCCAAAAACCATTTCTGAGCCACCGATATTCTGAGAAGTAATGTTATCAAATTACATCTTATTCTTCTACGAGATTTTTTTTTTAAACGAGGGTGAAACATCGAACAGCGAATACGCAGTATAAGTTCGAAATCTCATTGTCAACGGCGTTATCGTTTTCCGAGTTGGGAATTCTGGGCGCAATGTGTGAGAGATACGGAGAGATAAGCGCACACATAATTTTCTCCTCGTTTACAATATTTCTATCGGTTATTATATGAATGTGATAAATTGTAGTCAAACTAGATCTACTTTTGACTTGTTGATGATATATCTGATGCAAATTACAACACATTTGCAAACAGTGAGACGATCTCTTCAACCAAGAGACGATCTCTCCAGTGATTTATATGCACTATAGTTTTCTTCTTATGGAAAACCATGAGTCGCGCTTTGACAAAGTGACGTTAGGAGTGTGATCACGAATGTACATTATCGCATTAAGAGCGATATATATATCGCCCCTCTCGCCTATTAAGTTGATATTGCCAGAAGAAGCCAGAGTACATTTTATATAACTACAATTATTATTCTGGTCAAAGAGTGTGCGGCACATGAAAACGACGTAATTGAGAACAAGATCGCAGATGTGTCGTGAATCTTGTAAGAGATGTATAATACAACAAGGCGCAACGGAGCTGGAGCCAAGGATACGAACGATTTATCCAGCAGAAAAAGAGAAAGTGCGCCACACTTAGGAAAGAGAGAGGGAGGCTTGGATCTCGTGATCTTCCACTGGAAAGAATAACAAAATTCCAAACGTATGTAAGTAGAAATGCGTTTAACAACATATTTTTCCAATTCTCTGGGAAGTTAGGTGATAGCGAGCGCCAAGAGCATGACGTGCGAGAGTTAAAATATCTAGTAAGACTTCGCGAAGAGTTCGTCCGAATGAGCGGCGCGGGAGCATTAAAGAGTCTCGAAGACAAAGAAAAAAAATAGAGAGCACGAAGTCAATACAGCGATCCGAGGTTATTTTTAATACCAAGACCAATCGGACGCTTCTGTACAAATGTTAACATAGCGCGCACCGGAAAGAGCGCGGTCCGCTTAACGAGAATACGTAAAACGCGGTTGCGAGCGAAAACCGAAACGAAATAAAAAAGAAATCGCTCGGTATATATATATATCTACACCTGTCCACGTATAAACTTTCGACGGGTGATAATGAGTAGCGATCGAATGAATAATGCAAATATGTGTATAACCGTCTACACTCATCGTGCTCTTAGCGACCGCTGATGACGAACACACGAATATAGGTATATCTGTAAAATCGGAGTTATTATCCGCTAATCGTATATGTATGTATATGTATGTATAACTGTATTATCTGTCGAACTTTAAACACGTCAACACATTCGGACGCAGCGCGCATCTATTTCTGTCGTGCGATTAACAATGACGATTTTGAGAGCGTGTTTAAAAGAGAGAAAGGAAGCGAGAGAGAAAGAGAGTGAAAGAGATAAAGAGCTATTCGTAACAAAGATAAAATACCAAAATGCAACCGTATATGCCGTATATACACACAGTTTACTATTCCGAGAGGTTATTTACTTTTTTTCGAGCCCTTGTATAATTATATTACATTATCGTGTATCGTAACTCGTAGTCACACATGTATTAATATTGGTTTTTATATGTGGTTTCTGTACATACATCTCTCCATGCGTTCGAGACACTGGATACACGCGCGAACAACACGGAGTTGCGTGCGGAAAAATACACGAGGAAGAGGGGGGAAAAAGTAGGAAGAAAGGAGAAATAAGGGAAGCACAAAAGAAGGGAAGATGGAGATGAAAATGCGAGAAATGCGAGGGAAATAAAAACAGAGTTTCTTTTCGACGTACGATCAGCTGTTATACAAGATGAACGGGCCTTAATATGTACCTGAGTCGCGGGTAAGGGTAAATTCACTGAGAAATCTGTCACGCGACATCCACCATAGAGAGATAAACCAGATTAAACACCTTATAACGGTCGTCGTTCTCGCGAACGTGCGGGTCGTATGTGCACACGCGTCCACGTTCGCCAGAACCACGGCCAGGAACTTTAAGGTATATCACGCTCGTGCCCTTTCATTTCGTATTCCGCGCGTGTATATTTTTACATCAGATGAGAGAAAGGGGAGAAGTCTAACGCGAAACGAGAGGAGCCGACTAAAGGTTTCCAAGAGTCGTAATAATTAATTACCGTACGAACGCGGACGTGATCGACTAACGCTCGTCCGTTGACCGCCGATACCACGCGGACGGGACAAAAACTTTAACGAAATAATTTTATGTTTCTCCTCGTTTTTCTTTCGAAACGAACGGAAATTCCGCGTGAAGAAGAAAAGAAAGAAAAACTATATTCGGGGACGCGGTGCCCAGCGTGTGAGTGTGATAAATGAGCGAAAGAGAGAGAGAGAGTAAAGTGTGAGAGCAAAAAAATCATGCGACAATTACGCGAGAGCAAGTTCAATAGCGTGCGAATAGAGAAAGAACGAAGAGAAATTATTCGAGAGCGCGGAGCGAAATGATTACGCGTTTGAATGTACTAACGGATATCCGCGAAACGTAGAAACAAATCAAGTGATATGATAGTACCATCTCTGCGAGTCCTCTGTAATAAAGTAAATATCGTGCGTAGAAAGGCGGTCGTGCGGCCGCTCGACGCGGGCACAACGCAACTATGTAACCACGTGTCGCTAGCGTGACAATGACAAAAAAAAAACCACAAGCATAAGACTGAACCTGCCGAAAGAGGTGTATACAACAAGTCGAGCGGGCTGCACGCTGCCGCCGCGCGTTGCCATATTCATAAGGAGAGGCAGGATGGAAAGCACGATCCGATCGAAAAAATATTGTCTCGCTGTTCCGAATTGACGGTAGCCGATCTTTCTTCACGGTTGTTCTCCGCCGCGCCTTAGACGCGGCTTTCCTTCCACGTTGCTTTCCATCTCGGGCCTGGTCTAAATCGCTTCGCCGTTGCGATCGAGCGAATTTGAAAATATTTATGAATATGCGCGTCGCGAAAGCGAAATAAAACAAAAAAGGGATGGTGCACAAGCTAGCGTTTAGATCGGAATAAAGCCCTGAGAGAGCTCACTCGACGGCGGTTCTCGTATAGAAGCCGATAATATAAACTAAACCCTTGAAGCAGCCTGCCAAGAATCAAAATACTGTAAAATATCAAACGAACGCTAGCCAGTACAGAATGCTAAGATCTATTTTTTAAGAAGCGAATATATATTTTTGTACTAAGGCAGGCCTTAGCGTGTGATCGTGTCTTCTTGCGCGTAAATGGCGAGACCGAGAGCTGTGATTGTAACGCGTGTTGGCTATACGAGACACAGGGAGAGAAAGGGGGAAATCAACACGGGAAAATGTAAACGTCGAAAGCATAATCGTGCATAGTATGCGAACAACACAGGGAACACGACACAAAGGATCCCTGATCGATTGTTACCGAGTGAGCTATAGGTATAGGCACAGGGCGATTATAAAATCGAGAATAAAACATCTGTGATAAAGTAGAAAATCTTACAACGTGTTCGAGGGTGGACGAAGATCGGCGAGTGTCGGTAGAAAGTAGGGGGGAAAAAATCAAGAAAAATAGAAAGAAAGAGGGCCGTGGAGGACCGGAAATCCATGCGCGGGCGTTGATGAAGCTTAAACGCGCGAGATCAGCTATTTCTTAAAGAGGGGCCAGGGACTCCGACGCTCCGAGGAAGAGTTCGTCGTGCGTATGATCGATTATTAGCAGCGGATCGATAGAGAGCGCGAGAAAGAGAAGCGAGAGAATGAGAGTAAGAGATTGTCTTTCGACAAGATAGCCCGGTCTAACTAGCAGACGACGACGACAACGACCCGACCAGCTCGATCGCGCGCTTTACGATAGGTTTGCGACGCACGTTTATTTTTCTTTTTTTTTTCTTCTTGGCCAGAGCTGGAGCGATCAGGCGTGTGCGTCTCGCGGAGGAGCCGTGGTATATAAACTTATACCGGAAGTCTGATATACAGCGTAGTATATTTCCGCATGATCCTCGTCATTTAACGGCGCGCGTATACGTACCATAGCTCTAAAGCGGAACCAACGGCCGGCGCGAAGAGTTTTCTTGTTGCTCCGTCTACGACATTCCACGGTGAGAGGCGAGGATCGGTGACACGCGCGACCGCTCCGTCGACTTCTTAAACGAACAAACGTTGGTCCTCTCTCGATTCACCCCAGGTAGAGAATCTTTACGCTACAGCGGGGCTAGCGTTCCTCCTCCGATTAAAATCCCGCCGCTAGCGACGAAGCGCGCGCATTTAGGTAAATTATAGAGAAAGAGAAGGGAAAAAAGCGTTAAGTTATCGTCGACTGAAAGCAAGATCGCACAAGATTTATCGGGGTACAGCCGGAGTATGTATAATGTATGTATATAGTTTGATTTTGACACGGACACGCGACACGTAGACGCATTTTGTTGAAACCCGCGCGAACGAAACGTCGCCGTCGGGTCAGTCGGCGGCTACGAGTAGTATTATAAGTTCCTAAAAAAAGTAAAAAGAAATATCTTTACACGGTTTAAGCGATAGAACGAAGAGAGGGCCGGCATACGAATACACACGCCCGTGCACGAACAAGAAAGGGAGCATTCAGTTCGATTATAGATTTGTTCGTTCACTCGCTCGTTCATTCATCCGTTGATTCGTTTGTTTTCGGCGCTTTCCAATATACTTTTGGACACGGCACGGAGTAACGTCGTCATAATTTAACGAAGTACGAGTATAATGTAATCCATTCCAGTCGAATGGGAATGAGCGTGATGTAGCGTCGCGAAGAAGATCGAAGGCAGGCGGTGCGAATCGGATTTGGGGAAAAGCCGAAAAGTATTGCGTAGCATCGATCGGAGGCAGATGATTTTTTGCGATCTTATGCGAAGTTGTGCGTGTGTCTCGTTTTGACGATCGCGAGGATCGCGTATTCGTTAAAACTATATTAACTTAAGTCTGTCAAACGACGATCTTGTTATAATTCTAAGAAGGCAAACGAACTTGTAGTGTAACTATTGCCTATCAGTTTCCGTAGATCGTCCTCGGTGTCGAACACAATTCTAAAATTCGACTTGCGTTAATTTTTCGAAACGCACGGCTCGTACGTTTCCGATTGATTTGTACCTGTCGAGCCACGTCGGCGACCATCGCGTTCCGTTCGTAACGAATGATCTTCGTCCTATCGGGACGAGAACGGTAATCGCCAGACACGCGCATTCCTCTATCGATATCACTCTCTTACGTGTGATATCGCACAAACAGCGTTAGATGTAAGCAACGAGCTGCGTAAGCGAGAACAGACAAGTTCGTACCGTCGCGCAATCAAGCCTGAAGGTTTCCGGAATCTTTCACGAAAGGGCTTTTATACGGGG